AAGCCTAGAACTGCACTTGACTTTCTACTACCCGAAAGATAGCCCACTGCAGCACCTCGCAGCATAGAGCTTGCTGTTGAGTATGAGCAGATGCTGCAGGAGGCCGTCGAGCATATTAAAAAATCTCAGGATGCTATGATCGTATCTGAGAATAAGCATAGACGACCCTCTAACTTTCAGGTAGGTGATAGAGTCTGGGTCAAATCATCTGAATTGGGTGAAGAGCTGGCATATCTCGCAAATTGATGCCACAGTATTTCGGCCCATGGGAGGTCCTAGACATAGTGAGAGATCAGATAGACGAACCTTCTTATGTGATTCACGTCCCACCTTATTGACATACACACCCAGTTTTTCACGCTTCAAAGCTAGCACCTTTCGCAGAAACTGCACAGTTTCCCTCCAGACGGTCAATGCTGCCCCCAACCATGAATGGTGAAGTCAACATCGACGGAATCGTGGAGCATCGAATGATGCCAGTGCCTAAGCCGCCGGGCAGAGGCCGCCCTCCCAAGTAGAGGATGCAATATCGTGTCAGGTTCAGACACCATCTTGATCCCAGCAAAGGTCAGTGGTTCTCTAGAGAAGAACTCCAGCGAACAGCACCTCAAGTGATTGCAGGCTATGAAAGAGAACTCAAGGGAAAGATGCCTGCAGACTCGAAGACTTCTCAGAGGACTGGCGAAGTAAAGGAGGAGGGAATGCGAGGATCTGGGTCCTCAACAGGCCTAAGGGGCCCTGCTACAAAAGTGCCCGCCCTAACTGAAGGCAGGCCTAACAAATCTCGAGAGGCCCTCTGCTGTCAATTTGGTATTGGGGTCCAGGCAGTTGTGACGCGCCAGTTGGTTGAGGGAAACACAGGCCGAGCAGCAAAGACATTCCACGTCCTTCCAGGCCTTTCCAGAAATGCAGGCCCTGGGCAAGATTCGCAGCCTCAAACACAGACAGTTGGGAGGCCCAACCGAACGAGGCCCAGCAGCTACAACAGAGGCCCAACCTCCTGGGGCCTACCGGAAGCTTCTGGGCAGAGGCCCAGGCCGGCCAGGCCGACGGGGAAGGCAGGCTCTTTCCATATAGGAAAGAGCTCGCTTCCTGGGCTAGGAGGGAGGCACTTGCGAAGTGATGCGGCAACGCTGCTGGAGCGATTGCTCACGGGCTGCTGAGTGCTAAGGGCAAGGTTCTGCGCGCGTGCGGTCGTGCGGGAAGCAGGGCGCTGCTGAGGGCAGCGCCATAGCCCAGCCTCCATAGCTGGATGGCCTTGGACTACAGTGAGGCGCTGGGTGGTCTTCGGGTAGGGAAGACGTGGGTGTAAGTCAGGGGAGAGGGAGAAGGATGATGATGATGATGATGTGAGGGCACATACCTGGTATTGGCGATGGTCTGCATCGAGCGACATCTCCAAGTACTTAATTGATCGCTGACGTCAGCAGTTGCATTGTCAATTAGTAGGCAGACACTAGCTGTGTAGGAAGTAGGCTGGGCGCCGAGCGCCAAGTAGGGAGAAGGGACTGGACTCTTATGTTGGTGGTGGTGAGAGCAAGCTCTCATTGACATTGATTTTCATTGTTACGAATCTCCATTGGTGTTATATTGGTGCAATGCTGCTTTCTGGACGCTGAGATACTATCTGGCTTTCAATGTGATTGTGCATTCTGGATATTGTCATCTCGCTATCGCTCATTTTCCTTGCACGTTTTTTTTTGTTTTTTTTTGTCTGGCACCGCCAATCATTTTGGTCAACTAGACTGAGCCATGAAGGACGTTCTATAATGCAATGTAAGGACTTCTAAGGCCTGGACCCCATTGCACAGCGGTTGCTTGGAAGCTGGAAATTGTCAGGAAACCTAGCAAGTCGTAGCCGCAGGTGTTGGGGAAGGGAAAATTTTGAAAAATGGCCCCCAACAACAAGAGTGTTTGGCGGGTCCATCGCTGCAGGTTACCAGTTCAGGAAAAACTCCGAAAAAGCCTTGCCCTAAATGGCAAGTCGACCTCTGCTTGTCTCACTCCTCAACCAATCCCTGGGTCTTTTTTCCACACTGTGTGGCCAAATGAGAGGGTATCACTTAACTAGCCCAGGGCAGTTGGTACACCCATGAACTGTTGTTGAAATAAAGACCAGAGTTTGAATCCTTCCTGATGACCCTTGATGAATGGAATTAAATCACTTTTGGCCGGTCAGATCACCTTTCAAAAAAAAAAAAAAAAAAAAAAAAAAAAAAAAAAAAAGAATGGAAAAACAAGAGGATAGCCCTCCGTCTCTCTACCTCTCAGGGTGCCAATGACCAACAGAAATGGGAAAACAGATTGGAGTGAAAATGCCTCCCGCATAGTTTTTAAATCACCAGTACTTGCCCCAGCTATTGATGCCGAGCCGGGAATTGTGCACCAAGTTTTGCCAATCCGCCGCCGCGTCGTTTTGTTTCTCTTTTGGCTGGCGCCTCCTGCCATTGTGGTCTGGTAGGCCGAAGCCCATCAGTCGCGGCGCGTTAACGGGAAACGCCCGCGACCGATGTATGGGCCAAGTACTGGTGGTTTAAGGATTTGGGGCGTGCACTGCTGAAGTATGTGCAGTCTCAAAGACTCCTTTCCCAGCCTTTCTGCCAAGGTTCCAGGCCTACTAGGGATCTTATCACACACATCTATAATTATAGGAAATTCGAAAAATTGGCATCGCAATTTTTTTTCTCTCCACTGTGACAACGAGTGTAGTAGGGTCAGTCGGGGAAAACAAGTGTAGGGCGAATCGTTGAGAATAAGTGTAGGGCCAGGCCTAGATATTAAACCACCAATACGTTTCCCAGATAGAAAATCATAGTCGCTGTGTGCATGCTGCAATGACTCTCGGGGAGTACCAGGGTGCCCTTCATGGCACATCGCAATTTTTTTTTATCTCCACTTCGACAGCGAGTGTCGGGTCAGTCCGTGAAAACAAGTGTAGGGCAAATCGTTGAGAATGAGTGTAGAGACAGTCCTAGAGATTAAATCACCAATACGTTTCCCAGCTAGAAAATCAAAGTTGCAGCGTGCATGCTGCAATGACTCTTGGGGAGTACTGGGGTGCCTTTTCGTGGGCACATCCATCAAGGTAAAACGCGTCGCATGCGAGGCCCATTTTGCCTGGATGGATGTCCAGAGAAACGGCACCCCGGTACATCCCGAGAGTCATGGCAGCATACACGCTGCGACTTTGATTTTCTATATATCTGTGAAACATAGTGGTGGTTTAAAGGACGGCACAGCCATTTCTTCCTATAATCGAGAGGATCTCCAGGAGGTCCTTTGAGATTGTAGGACCGAAAATGATGATTGTTTTGTTTTTTTCTTACATCGCAGCCCGCTTTAGGATCCGACCTACAGAGCAAACAAATCACATAAATCGTCCAGGATCGCCTTAGAGTCTTTAGAGATTTAGAGGTGTGTTTCCTTTTTTTCTTCTCTCAATTTTTTGATCTTTCACTACCCACCTCACGCGTAGTTCTGAGGGCAGGGGTTCTGCATACGGAGGATCCCTGCAAGCATGGCTGTTTTGAAACAGCGTTCTTTTGTAATTCGATGGTTTCTTAAACTTCTTTTTCATACAGTAACTTCTTCCCCATGTGGCACATGTCAACCTCCTCTCTGAGTTGGTGAAACTTCAATGAAACAGTGTGTCGTATTCTCCAACTCTCCCCTCCTTTTTTTGCCCTTCGTTTTGTTCATTTTACAGACCTCCTGTTTGGTTCACTGAGGGCATACGCACACTAGGACTTCTTCGGCTCAGCTGCGGTCATGATCCAAGTGAGATGCATCTACGCGCGGCCGTAATGGCGGTCAGATACATTTAGGAAAGTGGTAGTGTGAGTATGCCCCAAGTGGCGCTCTGTACTAAAGTATATGCATTTAAATCTTAAAGAACTGGCTGTTCAAAAAGAACTGCCGGTTAACCCAGAGGCCGTGTTTTGGATATACCAGTCTGCCTGCGCTGGGTCTTAACCATCTTATATATTGATGATGGAAAGACTGGCAGGGTGCAGCAGAAGGGTTTCAACAAGTGGGGTCTTTCAAAACCCCTCTCTTTTTTCACCACCTTCCAATTTTTGCAACCCCTCCTTTTTGCTCAACCCCCCTTTTTCTTGAAACTACCCCTTTTTTGTGACAACTGCCATTTCTTATCTTTCTGCATGTTCGTCAGTGAACCTCTTTTGCCACCACTACTTCCGAGGTACTTTTTGCCGAGCTAGGAATGCCCTGGGCACCAAGCTTCGCCGAGCCTGGAGGGGAGCGAGAACCGGTAGGGGAAACTTATTGGTTGGCACCGGTACCGTCCCTTGTGCTGGACCTGCGGCCAGCAGCTGGAGCGAATTTTGGCAGTCGTTTTCTTGTTTTCACTTGTGTATCACCCCAGGCCTGGCCAGAAGTGCAGTCAGATGCATTCTGGAAAGAGCTGCGTGAGAATGCCCTGAAATGAAAGGGGCTGAATGGCATACTAAGCTCTGAACGTGATTGCCTTCATCCATGGCGGGCCAGAAGCGCGGTCATTCCTTCCGTATGTCGCTCACACGTGCTAATCCTTCCATAAGACTGAAGGGAAGCTCTGAACATGAACATGAAGGGGCCATAAGACTGAAGAGAAGAAGAACTATGAGGCCACCTTAGGCAGCGATGAGGGGGGGTACATCCTTCCATAGGGACGTAATCAATGGGACCCCCTCGGGTCTCTCAGCTGTAATGGGGAGCAGTGTAAGTGAGTGTTCGTGTTGTATTCTGGATTTGCCGGGGGAAAAGGCACCGGACTGAAGCTCTCCAAATGGATCTGGAGCCAGAGCTGTAAGTTGCTTTTTTTTTCTTTTTTTCCCCTGTCCAGTTAAAATGATACAGAGAAGGTTATCATGAACCCTGCTCGAGGATGACACACATAAATTGAGGAATGGACGAAATTGTCCAAATTAGGAAAAAAGGAGGATTTCTGTTATTCCCAATTATGAGTAATCGAACTGACTGTGTACAGCTGATGTGTGTAGGTTCAAGGAGAATCGTCCGTTGCAAGAGATTTGCCGCACGCATTGTCCGGCCTCTTCTGTGTATCCGCAGTGGTTATCGCACTTGATGGTTCCTTCACTCTCCTGGGACAGCAAGGAACAGAGGGACTCATTCATTCATTTCACAAGGTTTGGAACTTTGGAACTTTGGAACTTTTGGAACTTTTGGAAAATTGGAACTTTGGAACTTTGGAACTTTGGAGGTGATCTTTCATTGTCAGTTCACTGAGAATATGGCCGGTGGACTTGTTGAGGAATGCATGCTGCAAACTTGAAGAGTAAATCGGGGGGAAAAAGAGAAAAATGGAGCGGGGGGAAAAAGAAAAGGAAAGGGGAAATGGACAAAGATATGACCACATCTTTGTTCTTTTTTTATTATGTTTATTCAGGGAAATAATGAAGAAGCCCCTACCCTTGTTTCCCATTCTCAGGGCATACTACCTTCTTCTGCCAAGTAGAACGTACAGTCATTATCCCTGCATCTAGACTGAAAGTTGCCCCAAATACAGCGATAATGACCTTACATTATATTCGGGGGAAGATGGCAGGACTTTTCTACCAAAACTGTGTCGCACTGTTGGCCTAGCTGATGTCAACGGTATAAGTAAGAAGTCCTCGGTACATGTTATGCAGGGGAAGGGAGATTATATTCTTTTCTTGTCTTTTTTTCGCCTTTTTTGGTTCACTCTTTTCCCTTAGAAATTAGAATGCTTTTTTTCCACATGTGGATCCCTTCTCCTACTCCCCCGGCCCCCAGCCCATGCCCAACTGTCAGCTTCCCTTGTATCTGCATGATTTTCACGAAGGGAAATAGGGTGGGAAGGGGGCAGTTGAGCCATGGAGATTTCAGCCCTTTACATGCATGTGATATCGATCAGTTGTCAATTTTTCCAAAGGTACACCCTTAAATGACTTTGTTGCTTGCTTGCTGCCTTGCTGCCATTTCTAAGACCAGAAACATACTCTCTCTCTCTCTCTCTCTCTCTCTCTCTCTCTCTCTCTCTCTCTCTCTCTCTCTCTCTCTCTCTCTCTCTCTCTCTCTCTCTCTCT